ACAGCGCGAGGAGGTCTTGTCTGGGCTGTGTTCTGGCGGACCTAGGATCGGGGTACAAATCGCTCCGGAGCGTGTCAGAACGCTCTTGCAGAGGGTCCTGGAATGCTCTGCGGAACGGCCGCGGCGCCCTGTGCATCCTCCAGAACCGCCAGATCTCAGAGATTTTCGATGTATCCATCTCCGATGTTGTCCATGCCCTGGCTTCGTCGGAAGTATGTCTCGAGTCCAGCCCGTTGACTAGGACGGTGCATGCCTTGAGAAGCGGCCAAAGCCTTCAACTAAGAAGGAGTTGACATCTCAAGCGCCAGACAGAGTATACGGGGTCATCCGTCTTGACGTCCAGGCCCACCTGCAAACCATCCGCCCGCGACAGACTCGAAGTATGTCGTATGTCTATCCGCGGACGGAGGCCGAGGAGCGTGGTCGCCGTTGTCGACATCGTCGTCGTTCTCCTCGTCGTCCTCTGTTGTCTTTCGCTTCTCGTCCAGCATCCGTCGTCGTCTGTCGTCGTCAACTTCATCATCGTCGTCGACATCTTCGTCTGAGCCGTCGTCGTTATCCTGCTCCTCCTCCTCGTCCTCCTCCTCCTCCTCTTCCTCCTTCTCCTCCTCCCCCTCCTACTCCTCCTCCTCCTCCTCGCCCTCCCCCTCCTCCTCCCTCCTCCTCCCCCTCCTCCTCCTCCCCCTCCTCTTCCTCGTCCTCCTCCTCCTCTTCCTCCTTAGCCGCCCAGCGTGTCCATCCGCCCACGGAGGCCCCGCTGGACGCCGACCAGGCGATCACGGCGGGGGAGTTCTTCGACCGGCACGAGGAGCTCTCCGAGCGGCGGCGCGCCCGGGTGCGCCCCTGAGGGCGGGCGGCGCGCCCGAGTGCGCCCCGCTCCGAGGCGGCGCGCTGGCGCGAGGGAGGCCTTGGGTGAATCAGGAGAGAAGAAAACACACAGACACAAATAATCGTCGGTTCCCCAGAAAAGTATAGGAAAATATTGGAACGGGGGGGGAAGACAAACACCCAGAAAATATAGGAAAATATAGGGAATCCTGTTATTTGTGTGTATTTACTTTTGTGTCCCAGGGCCCCTTCAGTCAAGCAGTGGCGAAGCGTCCTGGCTCGCCTATAGTCGGAAACTGGATCATATACATTACAGTGGGGGCGCGCATCAAGAAACCATGTGCTTTTCGTCAGGGTATCCTGGGTTTCGTTCCGCGCGCTGCGCGGCGACTTCCCGCAGCCGTTGAAGGAGCTGCTGCGTTCAGGGCGCTCCCGGTTTCCCCTCAGGCGCACCTCGCGCGCGGGTTTACAGGGTTGGGTTTCTTGCGAGGGTTTCTTGCGGCCGCGCCCTCACTGTACCAGTGGCGTGCTGTTTTTCAATCCCTGGACTCTTTGAGGGTCAGGGACGACGTCGGGGTGGTGTGGTGCATAGTTGTTTCCCCGTTGTCCTGGGGAAATGACGAAGATGTATACACCAGCATCCCGTATACACCAGGATCCGCTTTCTTGTGCGAGTTTCAGTGCAGGGTTGGAATAAGCGTCGGTGTATAGAGTTCGGTTCCCTATATAGCCCTACCAGAGAATGTTCTAAGAACCTGTCTTTGGTTCCCACGAAGCGTTCTTAGAACAGTTCTGGCTGGAGCTGTCTTGTCTTATCGCTCCGGGCTTGCGTTCTAAGAACACGAATGTTGTTATTAGAACATGTTTGGGGTTCTAATAAGTTCTAAACCATAGTCCTACCACGACATGTTCTGAACATGTCGTGGTAGGACTACAGCAATGCCAGGACGGCCGTTCCCTGCGCAATCGGGCGTCGCGTGCATGCTGGTCGCAGGTCGTCGAAAGCAGGCGTCTCTGTACTCGCGTCGCGCCGCGCCGTGCCGTGCCGCGCTGTGCCGCGTCGTGCCCATGCGTCGTCGAAGGCCGCGCCGTGGCCTGCTGGCCCCTGCCGGGCGCGTATGTGCGCGCCGCTCCTGGCGTTGCGCGGGCGCCTGACGTCGCGTCGCGTGTCCTCCCGTGCCATGTTCCTCCTCCGCCTCCTCCTCCTCCTCCTCCGCCTCCTCCGCCTCCTCCTCCTCCTCCTCCTCCGCCTCCTCCTCCGCCTCCTCCGCCTCATCCGCCTCATCGTCCTCCTCCTCCTCATCCCCCTCCTCCTCCTCCTCTTCCTCCTCCCTCCTCCTCCTCCTCCTCCTACTCCTCCTCCTGGTACAATGCCCAACAACAATCAGGAGGGAAAGAAACACACGGACACAATGAAGCGTCGATTCCCAAGAAAAGATGGGAAACTATTGGAAGTGGGGGGGAAGAGAAAAACTCAGAACATATGGGAACATATGGGGAATCTGTTTTATTTGTGTGTATTTATGTGTGTGTCCCAGGGCCCCTTCACATGTGCGGTGCCGCGTGCCGTGCGTTGCCGCGCGCCGCGTCGTGCCTCGCGTCGGGCCGCGCCGGTATCGCATGCCGTGCGCCGTGCCGCGCACCGTGCCACGCGCCATGCCGCGTGCCGTGGCTCGCGCCGCGCCGCGTCGTACAGTGCGCGCGCCGCCGCCGTCGTCGTCGCCGACGCCGTCGTCGCCCCCTCGATTCAAGGACGGGTTTGCGCAGGGGGGCGGCGGCTGCAGCGGCCGCCGACCCCGCTGCGGAGGGCGCAGCCCCAGAGGTTTGCGACGCGTAACCGCCCCATCTCCCTGACCCCGACCCGTTTGTTTCACGCGGGTTGGGTGGGGCGAGGGAGGGGGGTGGTAGATGTCGCTGTTCGCAGGGCACAGCGGCGCCGCGGACCCCGAAGCGCGAGCGGGCGTCGCCCGACCCCTCGTCGGGCGACCGCGCCGTTCGGCCGAGGGGCGCCGCTGGCGCCGAGACGCCCGAGCGGCGGCCCCCAGGCAGCGCCTTGTCCCCCAGCGCACCCACAGCTGCTGCGAGCCTGCGCGCTGAGGCGGCGGTGATCGGGCGGCTGACGAGCGCGCGGAGGGTGGGGCGCCCGCCTGCCGTTTCCGCCACTGGCGAGGAGTTCGTGCGCGGGTGGTTGAGAGCCAACGGCATGGCGCACCTGACTTCCGCACCGCCTAGAGCGCAGGTGGGGTTATTGTGCGCCGCCGCGCACGAGGCGGGCGGCGACCTTCTGTCGCCCGACACAACGGCGCGCTGGCTGCGGGGCAAGATCGAGCCCGCAGTCCAGCGCGACGGCGTCTGGACGGCTCGGCTTAGCGTTTTTGTTGCCCCCCCCCACCCCCCTCGCTGCGCAGCTACGCGAGGCCCAGGGCGCAGAAAGGTGCACACCCGCCCCGCCCTCTCCTTCCTCACTTTCCCTTCCGCCGCCTGGACAGGTCCATGCCGCCGCCGCGGTGCCGCGGCGCGCGGTGGGCATGGGCCGCTGCCCGCCCTTTGAGGCGCTGGGCTGGGCCCGTAACCATCGCCGCCCGAGGGCCCGACGTCGTGACTCGGCGGGTCGCGGGTGGCGGGTGTCTCTGGGCGGCGCGTTCGCGAATGTTTTGTTGGGGGATGGGGGGGGGGCGCGTGTTCTGGCGCCCCCCCCCCGCCGCTGCGCCCCCCTCGGCTGGCGCAGCACTCGTACGAACAGGTAGAGGGAACGCGCCGTTGCGCGTGGACCAGCGCAGCGAGGGGGGGGGCAACAAACACACAACTAATGCGTCCAGAAGCCGTCGCGCTGGACTGCGGGCTCGATCTTGCCCCGCAGCCAGCGCGCACAGCGGGCGGGCGGAAACCCTATCTTTTTCAACGCATTCCTACTTCGTGTTTTTATCTCCTTCTTCCGGCCGGCGAGCCACGGGGGGGGTTGACGAATGGGGGGGGGGGGGGGGCGAGGGTTGCAGAAAAGGGGCCATGGAGGGCCTCTGAAGGGTAAGGGGCCCAGAAGGGCGCCTTCAGGGCCCGAAAAGGGCGCCGGTCTACCCCTCCCCCATCAATCGCTACCCCGCGAAGAGACGCAGAGGAGGCCGTCCTGGGGCCCTCTTGGGCTGTCTTGGGAGTTTATTGGGCCATCTTGGAATCCTCTCGGGGGCCCCTTGGGCCGGCTGGGAGCGATATTGACGGCTGCTTCTCGGGCCGTCTTGGACGCTGCGAAAGGCGAAGAGGCGACGATGTTAAAAATGCGCGTTTTCCCACGGGAAAGGGACAATTTTTGGTTCTTGGGGCCCTTTTGGGAAGCATCTTGGGCGCCTCTTAGAGCGTCTTGGGGGCCTTTGGCGCCGTCTAAGGCTATCTTGGGCGTCTTGGAGCAATCTTTCCGCGACTCATGGCCCTCTTGGACCGTCTGGGGGGCTTCTCGGACCTTCTTGGCCCGTTTTGGGACCCGTTTCTCCCCCGCGGCGCGTTCGGGCCGGGTCCGGGCGGGGCGGGGGGGCACATTCCCGGTGGGGGCGGATTTATGGGGGGGGAATCTCGCACGCCTAGAGACCCACAAGGGGTCGGCGGATTGGTGCCCGTCGCTGATTAATCGGCACTGCGTCGTCGGTGCACGCACGATGCTTCCTCCTCGCCTGCGCCCCCCCCCAATCGGGGCCGGCAAAGAGGGGGGCGATGACTGGGGGGGGGAGGGGGGGGGCGGATATCATGGCGGGGGCCACGATATTTCAGATTTCATGGCGCTTCTTTTCATTTCTTCTTCTCATTTCACTGCGCCCCTGGCCCCCCCGCTGGGCCGCGCACGCGCCCCGCCGGTCATGATGTGCACCCCCCCGTCTTGGACACCCCCCCCTTGGCCGCTCCCGACCCAGCGCTCCCCCTCGGCCTGGCGTCGCTCGGACGTGTGCCTTTTTTTTGGGGGGGGCGAGGACCATCGAGGAGCATCCTTAATAATTTGGCGAAAAAGCCACGCACGAAACCGAAACATACGCAAGGAATGGACGTCCGAGCGATGGCCAGTCGGGGGGGGGGGGGGCGCAGCAGGCCCCCGAGGGGCGGCCGCGCCGCGCGCGGTGCCCGAGAGGGCTTCCGCACCCGCGCCGCGGGAGCCCCGCTGGGGGGCGGCCGCGCCCGCCGCCCGGGCCATGGACCCCGAGAGCGGCTCGGCCGCAGAGCCGGGCGCCATGCCCCCCGCGGCCTGATCTTGTCGCCGGGCGTGCCCTTCTACGGGAGGGCTATTCAGAAATAGTCAAAAAGATGGTCAGGGGGTGATTTTTTGAGTATTGTTCGAAGAGGGATGTTTGGGAGTTTGGGCGTGTCCCCCTGCAGGAGGGATGCTCAAAGGTAGTCAGAAGGTAGACCGGGGATTAGTTTTTGAGTGTTGTTGGGCATCTTTTGCGTGTCTTTTGCGTATCTGTGTTATCTTGCGCTTCAGCTCCACTTGTCGGGGGACAGGCCCGACTTAAGCCCAATTCGGAGGGCGTCCGTCTCCAGTTTTAACCGTCGTAGGCCTCCTGAATGGGGTCGGAGCAGATGTCAAGCAGTGGCGCAGCGTCTCGGCGTGCCTGTGGCCCTACCAGACCATGTTCTAAGAACCTTGTAGTTTCCACAAACTGTTCTCAGAACATGTATGGATACGACTGTCCTGTTTTTCCACATCAGGGTTATGTTATGAGAGCATTGTTTTTGTTCTTAGAACATTTTTGGGTTCTCAGACAATTTCGTGGTAGGACTATCGGAGTGCCGGGACGGTCGGTCCCTGCTCAATAAGTAGAAGGGCGTCCGTCTCCAATCTTAACAGTCGTAGGCCTCCTAAATGGAGTCGGGGCAGATGGGGTCGGAGGATCGCGCCGCGTCGCCGATGCCTCGCCGATGCGGCTCGATGCGGAGCCCGATTTGCTTCGCGCCGACGTCGCCGATGCACCGCCGACGTCAACCAGGCATCGGCGATGCGGCGAGATCCTCCGACCCCATCCACTCCGACCCCATCTAGGCCTCTGAGAAGCGCGGGCAGCACAGGTTCGAAGACTGGACACGGTGTGGTTCTGCTGGGGTGCGGTCTGCGATCTCAGGGAAACGGATAATGACGTAAACATAAGAGCTCGGAGGTCCGCGCGGATTTCTCGAATCGGCGCTGGACCCCCCTCCCTCGCGCGCGAAGCGCGCCAGGGGCGGCGCCGGAGGCGCCGCCAGGGCGGTCCAGCGCGGATCCGAGACATCCGCGCGGACCTCCGAGGTTTTATGTTCATGTCATTCTTCGCTCCCCTACAGTCGGGGCCCTGAAGAAGGAATCCTTTTGGTCGGGGAGGGGCTCCGCGTTCCTTAAGTGTTTCAGAGCTTGCCTCAGGCTTTCCTTATGTCTTCGATCGGAAGTCGAAGTTTAACTCATGGAAAAGAGGGGCCTCGTTCCTTATTTAGGGCTCCTCAGGTCAACGCCCCGACTGTAGATCTGCGGCGTCGAGGCTCGAGGGCGGGGCGCCACGTTGCCCTCGCTGGGCCTCCGCGGGGCGCGGCGGAGAGGCTCCGCCGAGGCCCTCGCCCGCCCGGGCCCGCCCCCGAGGATGCGCGCCGCAGGCCACGCCCATTCGGGCCACACCCTTCGGAGCCGCCGGCAGGCCGACAGGTGGGGGACTGGCGTGGGTGCAGTATCTCAGAGCGTGAATTACCTACCCCGCTCTCGCTTCCGGGCAAAACCAAGTCATGCCACGCGCCTCCTCGTCAAGCGGCCTGACCAGTACAGGCCGTAGTTTGGCATCGTTTGGTATCCCTTGGAAGCGAGGGTGGTCCAAAGCGAGGCAGGTTTGTTTTCCCCCCCGCAGACCACGCCTCTTCGAGCCACACCCTTCGGAGCCGCCGGCAGGCCGACAGGTGGGGGACTGGCGCTTTGTGGACCCCGGAAACGGCAGGGCCAAATGCTGGGCGCCAACGGCAAGTGTCAAGTGTCCTACCCCGTGGTCGTTCCCCTTTTGTGGTGCCCGAAAGCTATGGCTGCGACATCAGGGACACCACGCGGCCCTGAAAAACGCGCGCCTACATCCTCTCGGGAGCGGCCACAAGAGGGGGGCGTGCAAATCATGACCGGCGGCATGTGCGCGGCCCAGCGGGGGGGCCAGGGCTTAGTGGGCCCCGGAAACGGCACGGCCGTTTTTTCACCGTTTACAAAAAAATGTCCCTTAAAAATGGAAGCGGCAAAAAAACGGCGACCGGAAACGGCAAAACAACTGCTCCAGGATTGGGACCGAAGCCGGAACCGGTCAAAAAACGGCGACGGAACCGGTAAAAAACCGGCGTCGGAACCGGCGAAAAAACGGCAAAACGGAACCGGTAAAAACGGCCTTGTCGTTCCCAGGGCCCATTAAGGACTGGCGTAGGTGCAATATCAGGAGGGGGAACAACACACAGACACAATTCATCGTCGATGCCCAGGAAGATACGGGAAAATGTGGGAAGGGGGGGGAAGACAAAAAACCGAGAAAATATTTCGGAATATGGGGAATCTGGTTATTTGTGTGTATTGCTTTGTGTGTCCCAGGGCCCCTTCAAAATAGTGCCTTGCAGTAGGTGTTGCAGGGTTGCACTAGTCTGCGGTCTGGACGCCAACAGGTCGTGGACAGCGCGCAGTACTTGTCTCCTCCTTACTGCCTTCTAGGCCTTCCAAGTCGGGTCGGGGCACATGGGGTCAAACGATCCCGCCGCATCGCCGATGCATCGGCGATGTGGTTCGATGGCGGAGCCTCATTTCCTCCACGCCGATGGTGCTGATCTATTGCCGACGTCGCCGCCGATGCATCGCCAGTGCATAGACGACGAGTTGGCGATGCGGCGCGATCCTCAGACCCCATCTATTCTGACTCGGCCACCAGGAAGAATTCCGAGCGGCCAAAAAAAAGTGCCGAAACTCCAGGCCCTTCACGTGTTTCGGCACTGTTCCGACACTCTTTCGACTCTGTGTCGACACTCTTTTGGCCTTTTTCTGGGTGCTCGAAATGAGTTTTGGGATGTGGCCCTGAAGTAGGATGGGAACAACATAACTCTTGGGCCGTCTTGCGGCCCTCTTGGGGCCGTTTTGGGGGCCACTTGGGCCGTTTGGGGGGCCATCTTGGGGGCTTCGTGGGCCGTCTTGTTTCAGCATCGCCATCTTTCGAGGATGTCTCGCGAAACGCTCAACTTCGAGGATGGGAGCAGCATGAGACTACGGGGGGTCTCTACGCCTCCTCTCGTCGCCTCGCGCTGCGGCAAAATAATATGCGACGGGAGGCTCTGAGCACTGGCTCTGCCTCCGTGGGGCCCTCCTCCAGGGGCCCCGCGGCCAGCGGTCGTTGAGAGCAGGTATTTTTGTTCGGGGGCGGAAAAGGGGGGGGTGATGACTAGGGGGGGGGTGGATATCATGGCGTGGGCCATGATATCTCCCCAGATTTCATGGCGCCCCTTCTTATTTCATTGCGTCCCTGGCCCCCCCGGCTGGGCCGCGCACATGCCGACGGTCATGATTTGCGACCCCCCCCTCTTGGACACCCCCCTCTTGGCCGCTCCCGATTTCTGGAGCCCCAGATTCCAATCTACTTTCAAAAACCTTAATATATAAGGACGCGCGACGGTGCTCAGGGTACCCTTGCGTCCCTGCTCTTCCTTGCTCCTGCGTCCCTGGGGTTTTCGTCGTCCGCCGCCCCAGAAATCCCAGCTTCGGCTTCCAAGGGTCTTGCGTCCTTACCGCGCGTCCTTATTAGGGTTTTTGACCGTACGTTAGTAGGGGAACAAAAAGTGACAGAATCATAAATACTCGGAGGTCCGCGCGGATTTCTCGGATCGGCGCTGGACCCCCCTCCCTGGCGCGCGGAGCGCGCCAGGGGCGGCGCCGGAGGCGTCGCCGGGGGGCCCCAGCGCCGATCCGAGAAATCCGCGCGGACCTCCGAGTTGTTATGTTTATGTCGTTTTTTGTTCCCCTATTTAAGCGCCTTCCTACTTCAATGATCGACAGGCTTTACCTTTTCCGTCCTTTTTGGAGGCGGGCGGACACCCAGTCTACTTTCAACGCCTTCCTGCTTCATGTTTCTGCCTACGTTTTCCCACCTATGGGTACCCCATCAAAGCGCCATAAGAGCTGCAAACGTGAAGAGGCGGGTCGAGGAGTTGGACCGGACGGGGCTAGGACGAGAATACATCCGTTCCAGAGCGTTCTGGAAGGTTCTCGGAGCGTTCCGGATCGCTGTGAGAAGGCCGCGGCGCCGGAAACATTTGCCAGAGCCGCCGGGTCTCACAGATTCTCGAGTCATCTTCACACGATCTGATCCTCGTCTTGGCCTCGTCTTGTTGGCGGTCGCCACGTGAAACCGCCAGGAGGGGGGCCGAGTCGTGGGCGGCGGGAGGCGGGCTGGGTGGGAGGAGGAAGTGGCAGATACGGCGGGTTCACGTCGTGTCGGCTGGCGGCGACCCCAGCGTGGGCGCTCGAGGTTGAGCGCCGCGGGCGGCCTAACATCGGCCTCGGACGGTCCGACGTGTCGGAGGCGGCCGTCCGTTCAAGGTGGAAGGATCTCGGCGGTGTCAGAGACTAACGGCCTGGCATCGCTCGGACGTGTGCATTTTCTCTCGGCGAGGGCCAGCGGAGGAGCGTCCTTGATCATTTGGCGGAAAAGCCACGCGCGAAGCCGACAAAAGGGCACAGGGAATGGACGTCCGAGCGAGGGCGAGAACGCGGGCGCCAACACGACGCGAACCTGCCTACAGTCGGTCCGTAAAGAGCGGCCCCCCTTCGGGGGGGCCGCCGTTCCGAGGCAGCGCGGCTGCTTGCCAGCAGACCACGGGCTGCCTGCAGATTTCAGTTCGCGTGTACGGGCAGCTGTGGCTTTTTGCGATTTTCGTGGTGTATGCTGCAGTCAGTGATTTGGCGCTCCCCGTGTGAATGTAAGCGGGGCTGTCATGGACCCTGCGTCACCGACAGTGCACGAGGCCCCCTGGTTTCTCAGCCGATCCGAATGGGACGTTTCCAACTTGGTTCTGCGGTGCTCGGGACCAGTCCACTGTTGGATCTGGCACCGGCGCAGACGAGGCAAGCAAGCATGCCTCGCATAGAGAAGCCTCCGCAGGGGTTTTGGCGCCTGGAGATGCCGGCGCCGGTGTGTACCGATTTGACCATGCTGAATTCGATTCCGAGTCGGTTCGATACCGATCCGATTGCAGGATGTGTTTCCGATTCGAACTATGATTTCCGATGTCCGACCCGATGTGACGACCAGCGATCTGCTCTGGTTTCAAGAGATCTGGCGGGATTCCGAGTGTCGGTCCGGCTTCACAGTCCCATATTTCTCTTTGTTGTCTATTGCACATCTTCGTCACGGTTCCCCTCCCCTCTCTCAGGACGCAACTTTTAGCAGGTTTGATTCAGCATCGGCGCTGGTATATCCGTGGCTGAACCAAAGCCTCGTCCGGCACGATCCAAATTTATCCGACCTAATCTTGCTCAGTTCCGCTTAACCCAGCCTCGGCTCAATTCGAGCTAGTTTCGTTCCTGAATCAGGCTAAAGAACCTTCAGACAAAGACCACCCAAGAATTGCCTCCAAATTCTTGACGCTTCGCGCCCATCCAGAAACGATGCCCAAGCGTGTTGCCTCTGAGAGTCTCCTCGGATGTCTCTTGGAAGCCTTGTGGAGGCCTCTTGGGGCGTCTTGGGGGCCTCTTGGCGGCCCTGGGTGCGTCTTTGAGCGACTTGGGTACCTCGGGGAGCCTATTCGGCCCGCTTGGGGTCTCCTGGGCGCCTCTTGGGTGCCTCTTGGGCACCTCTTGCGGCCTCCTGGGCGCCTCTTGGTGCCTTGTTGAGGCGCTCATGGCAGCCTTAGGGGCGCTCTTGGGGCCGTCTAGAATGCGATCGATCAAAGAAGCTTGGTATCTCTCGGACGTGTGTTTTTTTTCCCGCACATCCTAAGATGGGGGTCTTGTTATTTCTTGGACGCCGCCGACTCCAGAGAACAAAACACACACCCAGAACACAGACTTACTCCTGCACAGGCTTACTCATACTCAGACTTACTCATACCAAGACTTACTCATACACAGACTTGCTCATACTGAGACTTACTCATACACAGACGTACTCATACACAGACTTACTCATACTTAGACTTACTCATACTTAGACTTACTCATATACAGACTTACTCATACTCAGACTTACTTATTCCCAGACGTACTCATACACAGACTTACTCATACCCAGACCTACACATACTCAGACCTTCTCATAGTCTGAGTTACTCAACACACGGCAGAGTTTGAGGATGTCTCAGGCGGGGCGCTGGCTTCAGCACCCCTAAGGGGAGCCGCCAGGGGGTATATCACGGGCCCGTTCGCCGCAATTGTGTGGGGATGTCTCAGGCGGGTTGCCTGTTTCGGTGCCCAACATCGTCTGCGTCTACAGCAGATTTAAAGGATGTCATTGGCGGGGCGCTGGTTTCAGCACTCCTACTGGGAGCCGCCAGGGGGTATATCACGGGTTCGTTCGCGGCCAGTGTGTGGGGATGTCTCAGGCGGTTTGCTTGTTTCGGTGCCCAACATCGTATGCAATTACAGCAGATTTGGAGGATGTCACTGTCGGGGCGCTGGTTTCAGCACTCCTAAGGGGAGCCGCCAGTGGGTATATCACTGGTCCGTTCGCGGCGGAGCCGCTAAGGAGTGGAGGGCACGGCCTGGCAGGTGAGGAGGAGGAGTGAGAAGGAAGAGGCTCATATTCAATCATATTCAAAGCTCATTCTGACTCGTATTCACTCGCTGGCATGGGGGTTCACTTGTCTTCGTCGGGCCTGTCGCCCACGTGGGCGCGCTCTTATACTCAGACACTCCTGAACAGACGCTCGCGACGGCATGATATTAAACATGAGATGCACATATGGGGAGCTCCACGCAGTGAGTATGTTTTCCCGGCGGGGGCTATTAAGGAGCATCCTGGATTATCCTGCGAAAAAGCCACGCACGAAACCGAAAGAAACACAGGGAATGGACGTCCGAGCTACGGGGAATAATGGGAGAGCTTCAATTAGGGCCCCCCTTGGGGGGCGCCTACGATCGCCTCTCAGGCCGCTCTTGGGGCGCTCTTGGGGCGCCCTGGGTCGCTCTTGGGACCGTCTCGGGGCCCCCTTGGGCCTCTCTTGGGGCCCTCCTGGGGCCCTCTTAGAGCTGTCTGGAGGCCTCGGAAGGCCATCGAAAGCAAACAGGCGAAAAGAGGCAACATTCACTGCTTGTCCATAGGTTTTTGAAGGATTTAGGCCGCTTGGCGCTCCCCCGCTCTCCGCTTGGGGGCCCCTCGGCGCCCGCGCCCGCCCCGAGGCGCCCTGCCAGGGCTGCCCACGGGGGCCTCCAGGACGGCGGCGCCGTCCGTGATCCAGCGCGTGTTGCAAGCGGTGCGCGCCGCGGGGACGCGTCGTTTCGCCGTCGAGGTTCGGGGCGGGACTTCCCAGATTCGGGGGTGACAGAACCCCCAACAGTGACACGTCGATCAGTGAATCGTCCGCTTTCGGTTCTCGAGAGGGCGCCGTGGCCGTCATTTTCCGGGCTTGCGCCCGCCAGGTTTGGGCCGCAGGTCGCTTTCACTAAGCCACGTTTTACTAAAGGGAGGTCTGTCCATCCCCGACGGATCGCCGATGGCGTGAGGCTCGTCGCCCCGGGCGTTCGCCTCTCCGGCCGGGCCGCGGGGCCGCGCGGAGCCGGGCCGAGGGATCTGCCCATGGGGGAGCACGGTCGGCATCCCGCGAGGGGGGCGCGGGCTTGAGGCATCGGCCGCGCGGAGCTGTCGCGCCGCCTCCCATCACCACCCACCAAACCACCCCAACCCAACCCGAAGGCTCAGATTTACCCTCGATTTCTAGTGGGGGGGGGGTCGGGAAACATAGATAAAACACGCGTGGAACCCTTACCCCCCCAAACCCGAAATTCGGGTCTTCGGGTTGGGTTGGGGTGGTCTGGTAGGTAGTCATCCCAGGGCTCCAGGTCAGGCGCGCAAGCAGGTTGCAGCCGCTCCCACCGGCGCGGGCCCCCCGCCGCCCCCCCCTGGACTCGGGTGCTGCCAGAGGTGGCCCTGGCCCAAGGTGCCCCCCGGGATTCCCGAGAAGGCCTTGGGCCAGGGGCACCTCTGGCAGCCCCCGACCTGCCCCCCCCCCCATCGACCAGATCTTGGCTGCTCCTGGCCTCTCAGGACCCCCCCATCCCACCCCCCAGTCTGCTTGCGCGATTGGTATACCAGTCGGTCGACGGAGCACCCCCTGGGGGCAACATGGGGGGGGGGATAGGCATAGGGGGATGCAGGGGCCCCCCCATCGCCATGGCCCCCATGGCCCCACCCTGCCCAGGAGGCGCGCGGAGGTGTTCTCGGGGGCCCACTGCCGATCCGTCGGCGATGTGCTGCCGATTCCGGGTCGATGCTTCCCCCCCCTGCTGCCAGCCCCCCCCCCCTTTCATCGTTGCCTCCCCCACCCCCGTCGCCTGAACATCGAAGCCCGAAGCCCAACGCACAGCCGACAAAGGCGCTGGCCTGCCGCCCGTTGCTCGCCCGAGGGGTTCGCTCGCAGGCCAGCTCTCGCGTCCGGCGCGGGCTCGATGCGGACTCGACGCGACTGGCGTGGATTCGACAGGGATCTGGCGCGGAGTCGACGCGGAGTCGACGAGTCCGACATGGATCTGGTACGGATTGGTCGTGCTTTGCGCGACGGGACAGACAAGGCCCCCGAAGATGCAACATGCGGTGTGTTGCAGCATGTTTTGGGCAGATTCTGGGTTTTTCCTCTCATCCTTTGGGAGGACCGACCGGGGGACGGAAAGACTGGGGGCGAAGTCCGACAGCAGTCCTTGCCCATTTCGAACCGAATTCGCTCTCTGTGCCGCTGCGGACGTGGTCGCTTGCGACGAACACCGCCTGCACAATGGCGGGCGTTGCCGGTGTTGGGCAACGTTTGTTGTTCGGCACCGCTCCCGTTCTTGAAAGAAACCCTAACCTTACTAACATAGCGGAGACGTGGCCTTCATGAGGTCCTTGTCTTCGCATTACGGATAATACACTTGGACGGGTTGGTCTGCAGAGATGACCCCTTTTTCTTGATAGTTTTGGCCCTCCTGACTTAGGTCCCCTCCCAGGAGGCTAAGGGAGCCTTTCATTGCTAATTCACCGAACCGTGTTTCGGCAATGTCGTTGCCGCCGCCTTGCGCTCACTTTGGCGGTGCGCCAAGTGGGTTGGCGCGAGGGGATTCGCCTTCTAAGAGGGCAGCGGCTTCTTTCAAGGGGTCCAAGACACTTTCTTGGCAGGCAGGGGGCTTCCAAGAAGCCCCGTTGCATTTGGAAGGCCACTTTCCCCGCCCCACTCGCCCATGCATACCGCGAATTGGTGCTGCTCGTTCGTCTTACTGGCCCGTGGCAATTTTCTGGCCAGCCGCTTAAGCACAGGGGGATGCACATGCACAGCACTCTTGCCTCGGTAGCCTCGGGGGGCATTGTTTGTCCTCGTAACTCCGTCTTGAGAGTACACTAGCATGCGCTTGCGTCTGGTAGTCGACGAGCAAGCGCCGACTAAGCTTCGATGAGCGTCGATTTAGCGTCGATGAACGTCGACTGGCTTCGATTCGCAAGAGCCAGCAAGATGGCAGGGGAAGCTTACAGGCGCTGCCGCCGAACTGCGCCCTGTCTCCCAGGCCACGGTGTCCTGCTAGCGCTCGCCTACGTCAGGCTGGCTCGCTCCGCATTTCAAGCTCAGGCCCGGCGGATTCCATAGCCGTTTTGGCTCAGGCTCTTTCGCGGGCTCGGTTTTTTGCTGACTTGTGTTGCTTTTTTTGCTTGCCTCGGGGGGGCCCCAGCAGTCCGTGGAGCGGAGGCGGGGCGTGCCGCCGGGGCAAGGCGTCAAAGACGAGCATGGCAGCCCTCCTGCGCCGTGCCCTCGCCCGCGGCGGCGTCGCGCCCTCGGTTCGCGCAGCCAGCGCGGCGCCCCCGCGCGTGATCCTGGAGGAGAGCGCCGGCAAGCTGGAGACGGCCATGCTCAGCAACGTGCGGTGCTCGCGGCACGAGCTCCTCTACACCTTCAAGTCGCCTCTGACGGGAACGCGCAACCGCCACAGCCTGCAGTACAGCACGACCGAGCATCTGACCGCTGTTCCCAGCCAGGGCGACGATGCCTTCACGGATGCGTCGAACGTAAAGGGGAGCGGAGACGGCATCTGGGTGTTCATGAACCACGCCTTCCACACCGAGGCCACCGTGTACCTGCGACCCGTGGAGCACCGCCACATCGACCCCTCGGTCGGCTGCGTGGCTGTGTACGCCGCCAAGGACCTGGTGCCGGGCGAGCCCCTGACTTTCGACTACACGCTCAACGAGTGGGAGATGTCCACGCCCTTCACGTGCCTCTCGACCGGCCGCACTGTGCAGGGCTTCAAGCATCTCACCGAGGAGGAACAGCTGGCCGCGATGCCGCACGCGTGGGCGCACGTGAGGCAGATGTACGACGAGTACCGTGGCATGGGCGCGTCAGTCACCAGCCTGCGCCTCGCGGGGCCAGGAAACTACACCTGGCTCAAGAGTGGCCAGGAGTGACAGGGTACGGAGTTCTGCCCAGCTCTCAGACCTTTGCAGGTGACAGAGATGGCTCTCTTCTGTCACAGGCTCGCCATCCAACAAACACACACCAACACACAAACACACAAACACACGCTCCCATGCCAGTCATGGTGGCTCTCGCCTAGATGGCACCTGGTATTTCCGAATACCTAATACCCACGGCAAACAGCCGTTCTTTGTGGGTCCCTTTCGGCGCCTCTGCTCTCACGCGTGTTAGTTTTCGGCGGACCGATCGCGACAGGCGGCTGGTGTTTCCGAATACCTAATGCCCACGGCAAACAGCCGTTCTTTGTGGGTCCTTTCCGGCGCCTCTGCTCTCACGCGTGTTGGTTTTCGGCGGACCGATCGCAACAGGCGGCAAGACCTGCTGCCCATAGACCTGCATGTGTCGTGATCGAAGACGTTGGAAAAAGTTCAGGCCTGGCGGATTCGCACAGCAACGCGCTTGTGCCACACCTCTCCTCCTTGTTGTGTCTTGCCGCTACCAGGCCGTGCATCGATTGGGTCGTCGTCAAATTGAGTCGGCAATGCGTGGACCTCGAGTCTGGAGGATAGATGTTTGCAGCTTTGGCGTAAGGGACTTCTCTCCGTCGCCCTAGCTGGGCGCAGGTCGGAAGGCTGGAACGTTTGCAGCGCGAGGGAATGGGGGTATTACACGAGGGAGTCATGGGAGACATGAGGAACATACATGAGACATGGGGGAGACGGGAGGGAGACGTAACAGATACAAACTATTCCAGGGACCCTCCGATTTCTCAAGACTAGATTCAAAGCTTCGATGAGCGTCGATTTAGCGTCGATGAACGTCGACTGGCTTCGATTCGCAAGAGCCAGCAAGATGGCAGGGGAAGCTTACAGGCGCTGCCGCCGAACTGCGCCCTGTCTCCCAGGCCACGGTGTCCTGCTAGCGCTCGCCTACGTCAGGCTGGCTCGCTCCGCATTTCAAGCTCAGGCCCGGCGGATTCCATAGCCGTTTTGGCTCAGGCTCTTTCGCGGGCTCGGCTTTTTGCTGACTTGTGTTGCTTTTTTTGCTTGCTTCGGGGGGGCCCCAGCAGTGCGTGGAGCGGAGGCGGGGCGTGCCGCCGGGGCAAGGCGTCAAAGACGAGCATGGCAGCCCTCCTGCGCCGTGCCCTCGCCCGCGGCGGCGTCGCGCCCTCGGTTCGCGCAGCCAGCGCGGCGCCCCCGCGCGTGATCCTGGAGGAGAGCGCCGGCAAGCTGGAGACGGCCATGCTCAGCAACGTGCGGTGCTCGCGGCACGAGCTCCTCTACACCTTCAAGTCGCCTCTGACGGGAACGCGCAACCGCCACAGCCTGCAGTACAGCACGACCGAGCATCTGACCGCTGTTCCCAGCCAGGGCGACGATGCCTTCACGGATGCGTCGAACGTGAAGGGGAGCGGAGACGGCATCTGGGTGTTCATGAACCATGCCTTCCACACCGAGGCCACCGTGTACCTGCGACCCGTGGAGCACCGCCACATCGACCCCTCGGTCGGCTGCGTGGCGCGTGGCTGTATACGCCGCCAAGGACCTGGTGCCGGGCGAGCCCCTGACTTTCGACTACACGCTCAACGAGTGGGAGATGTCCACGCCCTTCACGTGCCTCTCGACCGGCCGCACTGTGCAGGGCTTCAAGCATCTCACCGAGGAGGAACAGCTGGCCGCGATGCCGCACGCGTGGGCGCACGTGAGGCAGATGTACGACGAGTACCGTGGCATGGGCGCGTCAGTCACCAGCCTGCGCCTCGCGGGGCCAGGAAACTACACCTGGCTCAAGAGTGGCCAGGAGTGACAGGGTACGGAGTTCTGCCCAGCTCTCAGACCTTTGCAGGTGACAGAGATGGCTCTCTTCTGTCACAGGCTCGCCATCCAACAAACACACACCAACACACAAACACACAAACACACGCTCCCATGCCAGTCATGGTGGCTCTCGCCTAGATGGCACCTGGTATTTCCGAATACCTAATACTCACGGCAAACAGCCGTTCTTTGTGGGTCCCTTTCGGCGCCTCTGCTCTCACGCGTGTTAGTTTTCGGCGGACCGATCGCGACAGGCGGCTGGTATTTCCGAATACCTAATACCCACGGCAAACAGCCGTTCTTTGTGGGTCCCTTTTGGCGCCTCTGCTCTCACGCGTGTTGGTTTTCGGCGGACCGATCGCAACAGGCGGCAAGACCTGCTGCCCATAGACCTGCATGTGTCGTGATCGAAGACGTTGGAAAAAGTTCAGGCCTGGCGGATTCGCACAGCAACGCGCTTGTGCCACACCTCTCCTCCTTGTTGTGTCTTGCCGCTACCAGGCCGTGCATCGATTGGGTCGTCGTCAAATTGAGTCGGCAATGCGAGGACCTCGAGTCTGGAGGATAGATGTTTGCAGCTTTGGCGTAAGGGACTTCTCTCCGTCGCCCTAGCTGGGCGCAGGTCGGAAGGCTGGAACGTTTGCAGCGCGAGGGAATGGGGGTATTACACGAGGGAGTCATGGGAGACACGAGGAACATACATGAGACATGGGGGAGACGGGAGGGAGACGTAACAGATACAAACTATTCCAGGGACCCTCCGATTTCTCAAGACTAGATTCAAAGCTTCGATGAGCGTCGATTTAGCGTCGATGAACGTCGACTGGCTTCGATTCGCAAGAGCCAGCAAGATGGCAGGGGAAGCTTACAGGCGCTGCCGCCGAACTGCGCCCTGTCTCCCAGGCCACGGTGTCCTGCTAGCGCTCGCCTACGTCAGGCTGGCTCGCTCCGCATTTCAAGCTCAGGCCCGGCGGATTCCATAGCCGTTTTGGCTCAGGCTCTTTCGCGGGCTCGGCTTTTTGCTGACTTGTGTTGCTTTTTTTGCTTGCCTCGGGGGGGCCCCAGCAGTCCGTGGAGCGGAGGCGGGGCGTGCCGCCGGGGCAAGGCGTCAAAGACGAGCATGGCAGCCCTCCTGCGCCGTGCCCTCGCCCGCGGCGGCGTCGCGCCCTCGGTTCGCGCAGCCAGCGCGGCGCCCCCGCGCGTAATCCTGGAGGAGAGCGCCGGCAAGCTGGAGACGGCCATGCTCAGCAACGTGCGGTGCTCGCGGCACGAGCTCCTCTACACCTTCAAGTCGCCTCTGACGGGAACGCGCAACCGCCACAGCCTGCAGTACAGCACGACCGAGCATCTGACCGCTGTTCCCAGCCAGGGCGACGATGCCTTCACGGATGCGTCGAACGTGAAGGGGAGCGGAGACGGCATCTGGGTGTTCATGAACCATGCCTTCCACACCGAGGCCACCGTGTACCTGCGACCCGTGGAGCACCGCCACATCGACCCCTCGGTCGGCTGCGTGGCTGTGTACGCCGCCAAGGACCTGGTGCCGGGCGAGCCCCTGACTTTCGACTACACGCTCAACGAGTGGGAGATGTCCACGCCCTTCACGTGCCTCTCGACCGGCCGCACTGTGCAGGGCTTCAAGCATCTCACCGAGGAGGAACAGCTGGCCGCGATGCCGCACGCGTGGGCGCACGTGAGGCAGATGTACGACGAGTACCGTGGCATGGGCGCGTCAGTCACCAGCCTGCGCCTCGCGGGGCCAGGAAACTACACCTGGCTCAAGAGTGGCCAGGAGTGACAGGGTACGGAGTTCTGCCCAGCTCTCAGACCTTTGCAGGTGACAGAGATGGCTCTCTTCTGTCACAGGCTCGCCATCCAACAAACACACACCAACACACAAACACACAAACACACGCTCCCATGCCAGTCATGGTGGCTCTCGCCTAGATGGCACCTGGTATTTCCGAATACCTAATACCCACGGCAAACAGCCGTTCTTTGTGGGTCCCTTTCGGCGCCTCTGCTCTCACGCGTGTTAGTTTTCGGCGGACCGATCGCGACAGGCGGCTGGTATTTCCGAATACCTAATGCCCACGGCAAACAGCCGTTCTTTGTGGGTCCTTTCCGGCGCCTCTGCTCTCACGCGTGTTGGTTTTCGGCGGACCGATCGCAACAGGCGGCAAGACCTGCTGCCCATAGACCTGCATGTGTCGTGATCGAAGACGTTGGAAAAAGTTCAGGCCTGGCGGATTCGCACAGCAACGCGCTTGTGCCACACCTCTCCTCCTTGTTGTGTCTTGCCGCTACCAGGCCGTGCATCGATTGGGTCGTCGTCAAATTGAGTCGGCAATGCGTGGACCTCGAGTCTGGAGGATAGATGTTTGCAGCTTTGGCGTAAGGGACTTCTCTCCGTCGCCCTAGCTGGGCGCAGGTCGGAAGGCTGGAACGTTTGCAGCGCGAGGGAATGGGGGTATTACACGAGGGAGTCATGGGAGACATGAGGAGCATACATGAGACATGGGGGAGACGGGAGGGAGACGTAACAGATACAAACTATTCCAGGGACCCTCCGATTTCTCAAGACTAGATTCAAAGCTTCGATGAGCGTCGATTTAGCGTCGATGAACGTCGACTGGCTTCGATTCGCAAGAGCCAGCAAGATGGCAGGGGAAGCTTACAGGCGCTGCCGCCGAACTGCGCCCTGTCTCCCAGGCCACGGTGTCCTGCTAGCGCTCGCCTACGTCAGGCTGGCTCGCTCCGCATTTCAAGCTCAGGCCCGGCGGATTCCATAGCCGTTTTGGCTCAGGCTCTTTCGCGGGCTCGGCTTTTTGCTGACTTGTGTTGCTTTTTTTGCTTGCCTCGGGGGGGCCCCAGCAGTCCGTGGAGCGGAGGCGGGGCGTGCCGCCGGGGCAAGGCGTCAAAGACGAGCATGGCAGCCCTCCTGCGCCGTGCCCTCGCCCGCGGCGGCGTCGCGCCCTCGGTTCGCGCAGCCAGCGCGGCGCCCCCGCGCGTGATCCTGGAGGAGAGCGCCGGCAAGCTGGAGACGGCCATGCTCAGCAACGTGCGGTGCTCGCGGCACGAGCTCCTCTACACCTTCAAGTCGCCTCTGACGGGAACGCGCAACCGCCACAGCCTGCAGTACAGCACGACCGAGCATCTGACCGCTGTTCCCAGCCAGGGCGACGATGCCTTCACGGATGCGTCGAACGTGAAGCGGAGCGGAGACGGCATTTGGGTGTTCATGAACCACGCCTTCCACACCGAGGCCACCGTGTACCTGCGACCCGTGGAGCACCGCCACATCGACCCCTCGGTCGGCTGCGTGGCTGTGTACGCCGCCAAGGACCTGGTGCCGGGCGAGCCCCTGACTTTCGACTACACGCTCAACGAGTGGGAGATGTCCACGCCCTTCACGTGCCTCTCGACCGGCCGCACTGTGCAGGGCTTCAAGCATCTCACCGAGGAGGAACAGCTGGCCGCGATGCCGCACGCGTGGGCGCACGTGAGGCAGATGTACGACGAGTACCGTGGCATGGGCGCGTCAGTCACCAGCCTGCGCCTCGCGGGGCCAGGAAACTACACCTGGCTCAAGAGTGGCCAGGAGTGACAGGGTACGGAGTTCTGCCCAGCTCTCAGACCTTTGCAGGTGACAGAGATGGCTCTCTTCTGTCACAGGCTCGCCATCCAACAAACACACACCAACACACAAACACACAAACACACGCTCCCATGCCAGTCATGGTGGCTCTCGCCTAGATGGCACCTGGTATTTCCGAATACCTAATACCCACGGCAAACAGCCGTTCTTTGTGGGTCCCTTTCGGCGCCTCTGCTCTCACGCGTGTTGGTTTTCGGACCGATCGCGACAGGCGGCAAGACCTGCTGCCCATAGACCTGCATGTGTCGTGATCGAAGACGTTGGAAAAAGTTCGGCCTGGCGGATTCGCACAGCAACGCGCTTGTGCCACACCTATCCTCCTTGTTGTCTTGCCGCTACCAGGCCGGGCATCGATTGGGCCGTCGTCAAATTGAGTCGGCAATGCGTGGACCTCGAGTCTGGAGGATCGATGTTTGCAGCTTTGGCTCAAGGGAGTTCTCCCCGTCGCCGTAGCTGGGCGCAGGTCGGAAGGCTGGAACGTTTGGAGCGCGAGGGAATGGGGGTGATGCGTCGCGATTCTCCGACACTACCTAATCCGACCCCATCTAGGAGGCCTCTATGAAATCAATCCGCTACGGGATGCCGGGGGCCCGCCGTCGGGCCTCTATGGAATCAAGTACTGAACTGGATCGTCTTCGGGACGCCGCCGGCCCAGGTCTGAGAATCTGTCTAGGATGGATCCTTACATGTGATTTTTCGGTCCCAAATCCCGAGGTCCTCCCTGCACGCCAGGTCGCTCAGAACAGAGAGGAAACTTGATGGCACTTCTTCAGGGGCCTATTCGGACGCAACCCTATCGAGGATGGACGCCCCCCCATCGCATATGCCAGAGTTAGACCCTGAGTCCGTTGTCCAGTCGAAGATGATCCTGCAGAGTCGAGGATTGGGGTCGCCACGCCCCTCGTCATCCGGGGCTGGCACCAGACCGCCCGTGACTCGGACCGACGAGGATCCGCCAGGATGAACCCTGGCAGGGGGCCAGGGGTCGATGTTCGAAGCCGAGCCTCACGAAGCTCACACCGAGCAGCAAGCGAAGCATCCGCGGGGGCGGCGTCGGCCGAGCGAGCCGCGATTCTGCGCGCCGCTGGGCTGGGAGGGTCGAGGGCCGAGGGCGAGTGCTCCTGGGCGCCGTTCGTGCTGTTCTGTTTTTGTCAGGAGGGCAAAAACACACACAGACACAGTGAATCGCCGATCCCCCAGAAAATATGGGAATTGGGGGGGAAGACAGAAACCCAGAAAATATGGGAAAATATGCGAATTGGGGGGGAAGGCAGAAACCCAGAAACAATGGGAAAATATCTGGGGGATCCTTTTAGTTGTGTGTATCTATTTGCGTGTGTCCCAGGGCCCCTTCAGTTTGGCGCTCCAGGAGGCCTCTCGCCGCCGCCGCTTGCCTGCCATCGGAGTTCGGGTCGAAGCGTGCCCCGAAGCCCTAGGGGAGGTTCGAGGGGCCGAGTCGTCGGCGCTGCCAGCGCACTCGCAGGGCGGGGCACTTGGGGGTCGATGCTGCGTATCCCTGGTCTTAAGTCGGGCCTGTCCCCCATGCAGGAGGATTGTCGACGAAAAATGCAAAATGCCCCCAAAATAATCAAACAA